GAGTTACATCAACATCTGACTTAAATACATCAGTGCTACATCAGTTCCATCAACATCTGACTTAACTACATCAGTTACATCAACATCTGACTTAACTACATCAGTGCCAAAGCAAATACCATGCATAATTTTTGAATATTTTAACATCACATAGAAATTTAAACAAAAAAATGGTATGCAATAACAGAATAACTCAAATCTATCTGCCAATTTCATTAAGGTACTTTCCACTAAAACATTAAAAAAAAGAACCCCTCTTATGCAGAAATGATTGACTCATCTTCAGATTCGTGTCTATTAGGGGACTTCTTCCCAAGTGACACTAGTCTATCGTGTCTATTAGGGGACTTCTTCCCAAGTGACACTAGTCTATCGTGTCTATTAGGGCACTTCTTCCCAAGTGACACTAGTCTATTATTATTCTAGAACACTTGTAATCCTTCTGCCATTTTGTTAGTACTTGGCATGGTACCTTCAAAACCATTTTTTTATACATTGAAGAAAGGTCTGATGTGCATCATTGGACTGTGTTACTAGCAATATCAATTCTCAAAGTTAAGCTCTGCATTTGTGTGTTTACTACATGTATTTGTATAAGCATATCATACCAAACTACTTTTAACTACATGTATTTGTATAAGCATACCATACCAAACTACTAAAAAATAAGAAATATTGAAGATACTAGTTCATCTGCTGAGGATAGTGCCACCTCTTCTGAGGTTGGATCAGATAGTGCCACCTCTTCTGAGGTTGGATCATCAAATGATATCTTTCTGATACAAGCTGGAAGTGTAAAAGCATTAAGATGTCAAATGATATCTTTCTGATACAAGCTGGAAGTGTAAAAGCATTAAGATGTCAAATGATATCTTTCTGATACAAGCTGGAAGTGTAAAAGCATTAAGATGTCAAATGATATCATTCTGATACAAGCTGGAAGTGTAAAAGCATTAAGATGCCAAATGATAGGTATATATAATAAAACCAAAGGAAACTACAGTTTTCTGATACAAGCTGGAAGTGTAAAAGCATTAAGATGGATATCATTTGGACATCTTAATGCTTTGCACTTCCAGCTTGTATCAGAAAGATATCATTTGGCATCTTCCAGGATGTGAAGAGTCATATTTACAAAGGACTTCAAAATATCTCATGTACTAGTCAATATCACAAAAATAATGAACAATTATTGAAACAACAACATGTTTTGACCTCTTGCAAGAATTTGCAGCATCACACAGTATGAGGATCAAAGAATGACAGGAACAACATATGTCATTTTGTTTAACTGAAACATGTACAGCACACATCCTTTGTTAGCCTACCATATTTACACTATTATAATAACCTCAGCAATTATGGTACAGTATTTTATGTTTCACAGGCTTTTCAGGAATAAACTCTAATAGAGCAGAACCTATGGTCTCCATAATATTAATGAAGGGAATTAAATTTCAATTAATTATAGTTGTCATGAAACAATGGTATTAGGCCTATTATATTTCAAACCCTACTTTCTATATCTAGTGCCTTAGGGATTTTAGATTAATACTGTAATTCTACAGTTAAAACCAAACAACAAGTTATTTTACTTTTACCAATAAATATTGAACTACGTCACAAAACCGTACAAAACAATGCCATCCGTGTATATTTCATTATTCACGTATTATGCAAGTTTTAGTGTTACAATCTTTTTAAATATGGTCGCTTCCTTAATATATGGTAACTGATTATGAATCTGCAATAATATACACCAAACAGTGTTGAATTTGATATTACAGGCCTAACGTTTGATTTCTGCTAAAAAAGGTTTCAAATATTGTGTTTAATAGGGTGTTACGCTACACAGAGTTAATGTTTCTATGATAATGTGTTACAAAGTGTAGAAACGCGTCTATATTTTTGATACTTAAATGAACTTAGTACAGTAATTTCACTTATATCTTTAGTCTGCTAAGTGCAGAAATTGACAACAGGATACCTGTCAAAACTTCAAGTGGTAAACGTACCTATTTCTCATAAAGTTTCAAAATAGACACGTAAATAATTTTTTCGTCAATCAGAGAAACTATTAAGTAAGACAAGAATGGAAATACAAATATCATAAAGTTTCAAAATAGACACGTAAATAATTTCTTCGCCAATCAGAGAAACTATTAAGTAAGACAAGAATGGAAATACAAATATCATAAAGTTTCAAAATAGACACGTAAATAATTTCTTCGTCAATCAGAG